CGGGCAAAGGGCAGATTCTTAGGAGTATCTCTAGAGGTAGGAGAAATTGGCTGGCTCACCACTGTCAAAGGTGATAAATGAATTGAAAGTTCAAGTTGGAAGGGACAGTTCAGTTCAGAATCTTGCAGAGCCTTCAGGAAGAAAAGAGGCAACTGAGTAAAGGATTTACAGATCTGGGGTGTGGTGACTATTGGTGACCTCAAGATGGTGTTTCTTCAGTGTTTATGGCAGAAATCAGTTTTCAGGGGGGGTTTGGTAAGGAATTACAAATTATTTTGAAAAGTTTGAAAGAAAGAACAACAAATATCTTAAGTTGCTTTTGGAGAAGTTTGTTAGGATAGGGGAGTCCTGATTTGAAAGGACTAAATCAGAGACCCTCCAGAAAGGAGGTCTGAGAAGGAGAGAAGGGGGGACGTGGGAGAAGGTGAGTGAGGAGCCAGTGAAACAGGCAGGGAGGATCAAGAATACACATGAAGAGATTAGGTTTCGGAGGAATAGAGGCCAGAATTTGAGAAAAAGAGGGCTGGGCACAATGGCTCAGGCCTGTAATCCTAGCATTCTGGGACACTGAGGTAGGAGGATCACTTGAGCTCAGGGGTTTAAGACCAGCCCAAGACTCCATCTCTACTAAAAATAGAAAAATTAGCTAGATGTTGTGGTGGGAACCTACCTGTAGTCCCAGCTACTCTGGAGGCCGCTGGGGCAGGAAGATCACTTAAGCCCAGGGGTTTGAGGTTGCTGTGACGCCTCAGCACTCTAGCCTGGACAACAGAGTGAGATTCTGTCTCCAAAAAAAAAAAAAAAGGAGAAGGATATAAGAAAAAGAGAAGAGAGCGCCTTATTAAGGTAGTTCTGAGTGCTGGTGACTCCAGAGCTGAAAGCAAGGTAAGGGAAGATCTTGCTAGATGTCAAGGATTCTTTTTCATGCTGAAAGTGAGACTATCTGGGAAACTTAGGGGTGAGAACCCAATAACCCAGAAATCTGGCCTCAGAGTCTATGCTTTTAATCCGCCTCGCCAAATTAGCCTCTGGATGTGACAACTTCAGTTTAGAAACTGCACTTGAAGGCCGCTTTCCCTGAAACATGATTCAAAAAGCATCAAAGAATATAAATCATGCATAAAGGCAATTTTGTACCTTTGGGGAGTCTGGCAGTCAGCAGACACTGGAATAACCACAGCGTCCTTGAGGTACCTTGGAGCCCACAGACAGACATTAACATTTAATGAACATCTACTCCACGACAGCCCTGTCCAGTGGAAATTTCTGTGTTGATAGAAATGCTCTATAATTTTGTAGTCTCTAGTCGAATATGACTGTTAAGCCCTTGATATGTGACTAGTGTGACAAGGAAATGAATTTTTATCTTATTTCATTTTAAGTAACTTAGGTCCAGCTAGCTCAGTTAATGGGTCTCACTTCACCTCTTGATAGCTGTGACTTTAGCCTGTTGATTAATTTCTCATGCTCTCAGTCTCCCCGTCTGTGAACATGTGGTGTTAAGAGTTGGACTTACTTGTGTGGTGACGATTACCTGCGTTAACCCATGTAAAGTTGTTAGAGCTGCTTTAGTTTGTTTGCAACTTGGTTGTTACTGTTTTCACCTAACAGACTGGTAGATGTCAATTCTATTTCATAAGATATGTGAATTGAAAATTTGTGGCTGTATGACTTTATGATGGGAAAATTGTCTATCATGAAAGTTAGAAAGACATTTTATGTAGTGGTTAATCATCTGTTCAGGAGAAATACATTGGGAGAAACAGGATTGAAGTTATGATCAGTGTATGAATTTAAGAAGACTCAAAGTTTGATTTTCGTTAAAATTCATGTTGAAAGCTAGTTTCTTTTGGTACAGAGAATTTTAAATTTAAAATTTAGTAGTTTTAAATTTATTGTTTGTTTTAATAGTATGGAACCACCCCTTTGGTTTGGGCAGCAAGAAAGGGTCATTTGGAATGCGTGAAACATTTATTGGCCATGGGAGCTGATGTTGACCAAGAAGGAGCTGTAAGTATCTTGTATTTTAACTCCTTGTAATAGAGATGTGTTTTTGATTTTAAGAGTACTGTTTCTCCTTAGTATATGTCTAGGAAAATTTTCCTCTAATTCTTAAGTGGTAATAATTTAGGAAAACAAACATTTTCTTTCTTTTATCATCAGTATGTCATATTATAAATGTTATATACTATACATACATGTTTTTAAGGATCTATTGCTGATGCCCATTAATTCTGGGAGACTGAGAGTATTGTTCATGGGAAAAGATCCAAACTCTGTAAAGTAATTTAGAGGCATATTCTGAGCTTTCTACATGCAGTCATGGCCCAGAGAGCCTCGCCCAGGAAGCCTTGAGCAAATTGTCTCCCTGTGGTTGGATCATAGTTTGGTTTTACACATTTCAAGGAGCCAGGGGTTACACGTAAAGTCATAGACCAATACATGGAAGGCTTACATTGATTTGGCCTGAAAATGCGGGACATCTTGAAGCAGGAGATTACAGATTATGGGTGGGTTTAAAGATTCTTTAAAGATTTGTAATTGGTTAAAGAAATGAAGCTTTATCTAAAAGCCTGGAATGTTTTAAGTCATTGGTTCTCAACCTTCCTAATGCGGTGACCCTTTAATACAGTTCCTCATGTTGTGGTGACCCCCAACCACAAAATTATTTTTGTTGCTACTTCATAACTGTAATTTTGCTACTGTTATGAATTGTAATGTAAATATCTGATACGTAGGAGACCCCTAAAGGGGTTGCGACTCACAGGTTGAGAACTGCTGTTTTAAGTTAAGGAAGTCTGTTAATCGGAGACAACCAAGTGGACATATACCCAGACTCAAGCGATCTGATAAATTGATGACTTGCAGGTGCGGTTAAAGCCTTAGGCCTGTGAATGAGTTACAGAGGCTTTCTCTAAGAGGTGAGGGCATAATGCACGCCTGCCTTCCCTTCTCCTGGCTTGCAGCTCTTGTGACCCTATGGCTAAGAGGGATAAAGAATAACTTTTAGCAATCCTAGTATGACATTTATGATATATATACAGTCATGTGTCACTATGGGAGCATGTTCCAAGAATGTGTCATTAGGTGATTCTACTCCTGTGTGAACATGGTAGAATGCACTTACTCAGACCTCGCTGGTGTAGCAGGCCTGGTGATGGCACAGCCTGTTTCTATTAGGCTACAGCCCTGGACAGTGAGTTACTGCACTGCAGACTGTAGGCAGCTGTAATGCGAGGGTGAGTGTTGTACATCTAACAGAGCTAAACACAGGAAAGGTGCACTCAAACTCTGGTATTATCATCTTACGAGGCCACCATTGTATGTGAGGTCCCAGCTAAAATGTGCTATGTGTTACTGTATTTTGGTTTTTATCTGTGGTTCCTAGTTCACTGCTCCATATCCTTTGTTAACATTTTTACCTTTTGTCCTTGTTCTTGAACTAGCTCCTAGAGCAGTGGTTCTCAACCTTCCTGCTGCCCCCATGTCTTTTCATTGTTACAAAGGGGCCATGACCCGCAGGTTGAGGACCACTGTCCTAGAGTAATAAAAGGGAGAGAGAGTTCTTTTTGCTTGTAACAGTCCCCTTTCAGCCTCACCTGTGTTATATTAATGAGGTGCCTGTTGCCAGGGGAACAGATTGTCTTCAGGGGGTTTGAGCTCACCAACCTGGCCTCCCCCTCTGGGGAGAGGAGAGGGGCTAAAGGTTGAGTTGATCACCAGTGGCCAGTGATTAGTCCAAGATGCCTTCCTAATGAAGCCTTTGTAAAAACCCAAAAGGACTGGGTTCAGGGTACCAGGAGAGTGTTGCTCCCCAACACCGTGGGAATAAAAGCTTCTGTTTTCAGGACCCTTCTAGACCTGTCTCACCTACTTCTTCATTTGTGTGTTTATTTGTATCCTTTAAAATACCCTTTAGAATAAACTGGTAAATGTTAAGTAAGCCTGAGTTTTGTAAGCCACTGTAGCAAATTAATAGAGCCCAAGGAGAGAGGGTTGTGGCAACCCCCATTTCTAGCCATTTGGTCAGAAGCACAGGTTAAATGATCAGGAACTTTCCATTGGCATTGGAATTAGGAGTGTCTCGGGGTATCTCAGGGACTGATCTCTAACCTGTGGGATCTTGGAATTGAATTGGCAAATACCTAGCAAGGAACAGATTGCTTGCTTGGTCAGTGGGGAAAAGCCTGCACACTTTTGGTCTTGGGAGTATTTTCTGTTGTGAGAATATAGGAGGAAACCTAGTTTGTTTCCTTTTACACTTAGTGTAAATAGTTTAAAAAAATGTTCATATCAAATAGTTTTTGAATTGTAGAAAATTAAAACTTAGTGTAAATAGTTTAATAAATGTTCATATCAAATAGTTTTTAATTGTAGAAAAATAATGCTCCACTAAAATTCCTTTTCTTTAAAATATTTAAAAAATATAATTTTTAAAGATATTTTTAGCTGTGCTGTATTATTTCTCTTGAATAAACAGATTTTGAAAAGCCAGAAATCAGCTGTCAGAACATAGAAAGCTTAAAAATTGGTTAAAGACATCTTACCGAGTAACAGTTCCATATTCTTTATGGAGCACCTGGTGTGTACCCACCTGTGCCAAGTGTATTGGGGAGACTGGAGAAGCCTAACAAGTCGCTTTCTCCTTTTTATAGGAATTTAGTTAAAGGAAATAATGTTTATGCACAAGAAACAGTTAAAATATAATACAGGTGACTGTTTGTAGAATTATCATCTTATGTGAGATGAATCATGAGGATTAAGAGATACTCCTGGGTCTCTGGCTGTAACCGGACAGGAGCAAGCTCTTTCTGGCATAATCTCAATCAGTTCCTCCCGCCCTCCATATTGGGAAGCTGCTAACTGCTGTCTGACCTTCACGGCCTACGGCCTGTTTTCATGCCATGTGGAGACAGCCTGCCCCCTGCTGGGGTCCTTTCTGGGCAGTTGGTCAGGTGGATGACTGGCTTGTCTCTGTGATGACTGCTAAGGGATTTGACAGGCTGTGTTGTTATAATATGGGGAGAACGACGGTTTAGTTTTAGGGGCTGATCTAAGAACCAAAATATTTCTGTAGGAAATTATTTGACATTTAAAGCAAATCAGCATCTCAGGAAGTGATTTTAACATGTCTGGTAGTGAGGCAGATTCTTTATTAGGTGATTACTATAAAGTAGATGTGGAGTTTTTAAAAGAAGTACTTAAGACAGTTTTTGAAATGTGCTTTCTAGAAAACTGTGCAAGAGCATATGATATACTTTTCTTGAAGTATCCTACAACTATTAGTTCCTTGTTTACCTTCAGTTTTTCATGACTTTTATTATAAAGAATTCTTAGTTTGAAGTCTGTTTACCTTACAGACTTACAGATTATTTAATTTAGAATGTCTTTAATTTAGTCACCTTGTCAACTATGTTATATTTAATTACCTTAATGAAGGAGTTTGTTCATTGTGAATGAATCCAGTTTCAGATAATCATTTATTGAATTATAATACTAGTTCTAATGGCTCAAGAGAATTAATGTATCTTCAAGAACAAAATATGCACTGGGTATAGTGGCTCACACCTGTAATCCCAGCACTTGGGAGATCAAGGCGGGGGGGATTGCCTGAGTTCACAGGTGAGATCAGCTTGAGCCAGAGTGAGACACCATTGTGACAGGCTCCTGTAGTCTCAGCTACTTGGGAGGCTGAGGAAAGGGGATCACTTGAGCCCCAAAATTTGAGGTTGCTTTGAGCTAAGATGCCACGGCACTGTACTGAGGATGACCAAGTGAGACTATCTCAAAAAAAATATGCTTCTTGGCCATTTTGGTATGTCTGGTTGTTTGTATTGGCTTTGTGTTATCAGAAATGACTGTTAATAATAGACAACAAATTTGGAAACACCTATTTCATGAGTATGGGAACACATCATAGTTTTCTAGAATATACTAATTTATTGGACTTCTCTTTCTTTTTTAGAATTCAATGACTGCACTTATTGTGGCAGTAAAAGGAGGCTACACCCAGTCAGTAAAAGAAATTTTAAAGAGGAATCCAAATGTAAATCTAACAGATAAGGATGGAAACACAGCTTTGATGATTGCATCAAAGGAGGGACATACAGAAATCGTACAGGATCTGCTCGATGCTGGAACATACGTGAACATCCCTGACAGGGTAGGTTACCTTCTAATGGTCAGGTGGGTGGAAGGTTACTTCAGTTGCCTCTTACCAGCTTTCAAGATTCTTCATGCATGATACAAACTGGTTTTAAGATAAGTTTCATTTCTACCTTTAAAACTAGTAAGTTAAGGGTACAAGCGAATCTTTCTAAGAGTAGAATGTGAACGTTTTAAAACAATAACTAAGAAAATGACATGAAGGCTATGTTAACCAGTTTGATGGAAGTGTTTCAGATTGTGTGTGAAAACCCCACACTGTACCCCAGAAGTGAATTAACGTACATAGTTACCAATCAATAAAAAAACAAACAAACAAAAAAACTAGTAAGTTAAAAATTATTCAGTCTTTTGAAGACGGCCCTTTTTTACTTTTGTCAAATAATTTTATTATTGAAAACATCACGCGTGTGTCTGTAACAGTCCTTGCTGTACACACTGACGGTATTGTTTATGACTCAGTTTTCACTGTTATGGAGTTTAAGAACCACTCTTTACCCCAAAGATTTTCACTTTTCTTTCCATCGTCCTCACTTCTCTGAGCTTCACACTTAAATATCGAGCTCTCCCTGCACTTGCTATTTGAAGGTCCTCCTTGGCTGCTGAAGTTAAGGCAAACAGATGACCTGTTTTTTTCACTGCTAACCTGCTTTTCCTTTAGTCTTCTCCATCTCAGCAAGTGGCAGGAACATCTACTCTGTTATTAAAGCCCCAGCCCTGGGCATTAGCCTTGATTTCTCTCTATGCTCTCCTCCCCCATCCAGTTCTGCAGCAGGTTCTGTTCACTCTGCCCCAGAATATCTTCATCTGTGCACGCGTCTTCACAATCTGCTGTTACTTCTCCAGCGGGGTCGCCTCCTCCTGTGGTTACAGGGATAGCATCATCGCAGCTGGTTCTCTCCTTGCTGCTACTATATTCTCCACTCTGTTCTCAGAGCAGTCTTTAAAACACCTGTTGGAACCTTCCTAATGCCATGACCCTTTAATACAGTTCCTCATGTTGTGGTGACCCCCAACCATAAAATTATTTTGTTGCTACTTCATAACTGTAATTTTGCTACTGTTATGAATCTCAATGTAAATATCTAATATGCAGGATGGTCTTAGGTGACCCTGTGAAAGGGTCATTTGACCACCAAAGGGGTTGCGACGCACAGGTTGAGAACCATGGCTTTAAAACACGGAATCTCTTCATGTGCCCCTTTGTTTAAAGCCATCCAAGACTTCCTCCTGTACTTGGGGTAAATGTTACTTCTTTAGTTTATAGACGCATTAGGGTGCTGCCTTTGCCAGCCTCTTGTCCTCATTCCGTACCAGTCTTCCCGGTTTCAGCAGGTTGTAGATGCGTTAGTGCCTTTCCCCTTGGGTCACCCTGATCTTGTGCCTGCCCTGGGGACTCTGCAGCTGGCGTGCTGACCTTCATGTCCTGGCTTCTTCTCGTTATTCCCCCAGCTTAAACGTTCCCTCTTCTGAAAGGTCTTCTTCAGCTACCCCGTCCAGAGTAGCCACCGGTCACTTTCTGTCATATTGCCCTATTTTAATTTACTTGCATAGCGTTTGGCTAACTTTTTTTATTGTATATTGTCTTTCACCCCCAGACTGTAAATTCTCCCAGGGCTGGGACATTATCTATGTTCCCTGCTTAGAATGGTACATGGCACATCATATACAGTGAAATATTTGTAACCCTTTATTAATTTACTAGTCTGGACCCACGTCAATGTTGGATTCTCAGCTAAGATTTGTCTGCCTAGGTAGTTAAGACATTACACAAGGGTGAAAAACGTTAACAGCCCTGGAGGACTTGCGTCTTGGTGTAGGGTCTGGTAAGGACTGAATGAAACCGCAGCTGTGGGGCTCACCCGAGCAAGAAGCCTGCAACTGATTTGTGATTTAGCAGTAAATAAAAAATTTATGCCATTTTCCAATATAGCCATTTCCAGTATTTGAAGTAATGGGAAGAGATAATTAAAAATCATTGTTTCTGGGTGAATATAATTTCAGGACAGAGAGATGTCCTTAGGAGGTCATGAACTTTGTCTAAGTCTTGTCCTGGGGAATGAATCAGTCTTATGCTTTCCTGGACTGTAACTGCCAACTTGACCAGGTATTCACGGATGTTGGTTCAGAAACACACCTTTCCCTTACTAACTACAGTTGTGAACCTACTGAGGCTTTAGCTTTATAGCTCCTTCAGAACTCATAGCTTTTGTTATACAGCATTATTCCATAGCCTTTTATTATGTAATTTCCTCTTTTTTTTTTTTTTTTTTGGAAACAGTCTTACTCTGTTGCCCAGGCTAGAATGCTGTGATGTGAGCCTAGCTCTCCACAACATCAAACTCCTGGGCTTAAGTGATCCTCTTGCCTCAGCCACCCAAGTAGCTGGAATTATAGGTGCCTGCCACTATGTCCGGCTAATTTATTTTTCTTCTGTTTTTGGTAGAGATGTGGTCTGGCTTTTGGTTAGGCTGGTCTTGAACTTCTGAGCTCAAGGGATCCTCCTGTCTTGGCCTCCTAGAGTGCTTGGATAACAGGTGTGAGCCACTGTGCCTGGCCTATTATGTAATTTCCAAATGTTTATCTGGGGCACTGACAGCCACAGTGTCCTTTTATTTAATTTACATTTATAATAGAAGGTTACTTTAAAAGAGAATAAATTCTTGTTCTGAATAATTTTTTGCTAAACTCATTTTGAGCCATAAAGTCCTTAGTTTGAGGGCTTTTAATATCAGATATGAATATTAGTTAATTAAAATTTTACTCTTAGTTGGAGATAACTCTTTCTCAGGAAATTTTTAGAACAAGTCTGTCATATTAATAAATGATTATCCTTAACGTCAGAACAGTGCTTATGTGTTCTCACGTCACCTTGTTTTTTTGCATTTTAGAGTGGGGACACTGTGTTGATTGGAGCTGTCAGAGGTGGTCATGTTGAAATTGTTCGAGCCCTTCTCCAAAAGTACGCGGATATAGACATCAGAGGACAGGTGTGTGTGAGCACAGTGCGGTTGTTACGTTTGAGTGTAATCACTTGTATGTGCTGACTAATGGTATTCTTCCCACTTTCTATGGAGGTGAACTGTTAAACTCTAGTACATTTAATGGATATATATTTTTATTGCCATGTTTATGTCAAGTGAAATTAGTAAACCAAAAAGAAGCTTGTGTTTTTAGACCCTCCCTCCCTCCCTCACTAACACA